GCCTTCTCAGTGGTGGCCCCCCGGCTGTGGAACACCCTCCCTGTTGACATCCGACAGGCGCCCTCTCTTATGGCTTTCCGTAAGAGCCTAAAGACCTGGCTCTTCGAGAGGGCATTTAACTAAGTGCCAGGCTAACTGATAATGACAATCGGAACGAAATATGGATTATGAGACTGGTAGGTCCCTATGTTGTGACGGTGCGGATTAGTTAGTATAATTTAGATTAATGTGTAATTATGGCTTGTTGATATACTGTGTTTTTGTAAACTGTTTTTATATGTTGTACACCGCCGCGAGTCGCCCTAGGGCTGAGAGCGGCGGTCAACAAATGCATTAAATAAATAAATTAAATAAATAAATAAATAAATAAATACTCAGAGAAGAAGATGATTACTTTATTTATAAGAGTTACGGAATAGTCCTTACACTGCCCTGTGGATAAGCTGATCCAGGTTTCATTTGGATCACCTTTGAACTAAAATGTTTGGACTTATACACAAGTACCTGCTGTATTGTAAGCTTTTGCAAGAGTGGTAGCAAGGTCTTGCTCATCTACATTTTCTTTAGTGGCTCAAAGTGAGATTGAAGAAGTCTTTTTTGGACTTTCAGCTACAAGCATCAGATCTATACTGCAAAGATGTTATCTCAATTAACTGCCATGGCTTCCCCAAAGAATCTTGGGTTCTTTTTTTCCAAAGCAAGGAATGGGTGTAACCACTCATTCAGCATATTCCTCATACTCATCCAAGTAAAGCAGCAGTAACATAGCAATGATCAGGGATGCAGCTAGATATGGTGTAAGACATATCTAGTGACAGATTTTGTATTTCTAGGTGCAAAGATTACGGCAGATGCAGACTGTGGCCAGGAAATCAGAAGACGCTTACTTCTTGGGAGGAGAGCAATGTCCAGTAAAATAGTAAAGAATAGAGACATCACACTGGCAACAAAGATCCGCCTAGTCAAAGCCATGGTATTCCCTGTAGTCACCTACAGATGTGAGAGCTGGACCTTAGGGAAGGCCGAGCTAAGGAAGATCGATGCTTTTGAGCTGTGGTGTTGGAGGAAAGTGCTGAGAGTGCCTTGGACTGCGAAAAGATCCAACCAGTCCATCCTCCAGGAAATAAAGCCCGGCTGCTCACTGGAGGGAAGGATACTAGAGACAAAGTTGAAGTACTTTGGCCACATCATGAGGAGACAGGAAAGCCTAGAGAAGACAATTATGCTGGGGAAAGTGGAAGGCAAAAGGAAGAGGGGCCGACCAAGGGCAAGATGGATGGATGGCATCCTTGAAGTGACTGGACTGACCTTGAAGGAGCTGGGGGTGGTGACGGCCGACAGGGAGCTCTGGCGTGGGCTGGTCCATGAGGTCATGAAGAGTCGGAGACAACTGAATGAATGAACAACAACATATTGGGGATTTCTGTTTTAAAACAAATAAAGTAATAGTAACTTCAGGAAGCCTGATTTAGATGAGGTCCATGGAACTGGGAAGGAGTTAACCTTCCATCTCCTGCTACTTTTCAATGGTAAGGACACATACAGGACTGGGCTGTGGGGCAGCTAGTTAATAGCCAGCTGCATTAAATCGAAGCCTGCCTGGGTCGGAGTGAGATCCCAACCATTAATAGTCTAGCTTGCTGTTGACCTATGCAGCCCAAAAGACAGCTGCATCTATCAAGTAGGAAATTTAGGAACAGCTTTATGTGGGGAGGCTAATTTAACTAATTTATGACACCATAAAACCTTCCAGCAGCGTGCATAAGAATGAGGAAGTACTCCATCAAGGACTCAGTGTCACAAGTGGACAGTGAACCAGCAGCTCTGTCTGTGGCCAAAATCAAGCATATCCTCATGAAGCCAGAAAGCTGGACTGTTAAATTGCCTCTGTGTCTGTTTATATATGTTGTATGTCTAATGGCATTGAATGTTTGCTATGTATGTGTGCATTGTAATCCACCCTGAGTCCCCTGCAGGGTGAGAAGGGCGGAATATAAATACTGTAAATAAATCAATAAACTTTTTCTCTCTCTTACATACGATACAATTAACATGTAATTTTGATGCTCTGTAGTAGTGGTTTCCAAATTGTGGTCCTCCGGATGTTTTGGACTTCAGCTCCCAAAAGCCCTAGTTGATTTCTCCGACAGTTAGAGGATCTGTGAGCTGAAGTGTAAAACATCTAGAAGAACACAATTTGGAAACCACTTCACTATGAATCCGTTGACATCAGCAGTTCATGCTGAATAAACCAAGGTGGGAACACATTTCTTAGTGAACTATTTTACTAGCTGCTGCTTTGGAGCGGTACATTGCTGCAAAAGTATGCAAAGTGTGCATCATCATCACCATCATTGGTCTTTGCAGTCCATCAACAGACCTAAGAAGACAAGCTTCAATCATTCATGGTCATTTATGAAATAATAAATTTGATTACCATACACAGTAACTCTGGATGTCCAGTTACATGTAATACATGATATAAATGTTTTGCAAAGATGTTCGTTAATTTAAAAACTTTGTTTCAGAAACTGTATGTCATATTTATTTTTTTCAATGCATTTTAAAAAGAATTGTCTGAAATCATATTTTGTATAACAGAGGAAGTATCTATCCTTTAAAGAGCTTTTAAAATGAATTCTGAGCCTTATTCACAAAGAGGGATTGAAATCATATAAGTGCTTTTACAGCTACTACCAACACGCATCAATGACTGGTAATTAACCACATCACTCTGTGCCCACACCATAATTCATTACTTATCTCTGAGTACATCCCATTACTACTCCCAACCAGAATATTCCCATTGAATCATTAGCATTAACCTTTGTGTTGATTCATCATTCCATAAATGTTTCAGCCGGTATATTACAATGATAAACTAACAAACAGAGCTTAACCTTAGATCTTCACATCTATAATATCAGGGCAGTCACAATGGGTTCTTGAAATAATTGCTGTCAATAATGTTTGTAAGGTTGCAATAACTACTTTCCAAGATTTTATTATTATGAAATGTCTATTATTAAATACATTTTTGTTCTCACATGTGATAGTAGAAAACATGCCAATATATTCTTCCTCCTAGGTGTGGTTATGAGCCTTTGCAAATACAGGTTTTTCTGTATTCCAAAGTTTTACAAAGATATTTTATGCAAAAAAAATGTTGTTGAACAAAACAGAACATTTTTGTGCAAAGTACACAAAACTGGCAGTTGCCAATCCAAACTAACATTAGTCTTTTAATTCTAAAACAGTTACCATCAGGCTTAATATATGTGGTGTTTATCGCTAGTTCCCAACCTTTTTTTGACCAGGGACCACTTGACTACAGATCACTTTGACCAGGATTTTTGGTCAATTTTAGATTTGGTTGGGTTATTTGGAGTGATGATTGAGAAAATTGCATTGGATAGACCACATCAGCTCTAGTTTCTGATACAGAACATATGCCATGCAGTAGTCGCCATCTGCTCACCCACAGAAAACCATATTTAATAAGCCTTGGCTCTATAAGAGGGTTTAGCGAGACCAGTCGCTCTCATTGCAACAGTGTACTAATGTTGAGGATGCGACCATATTTTAGTTCTTGCGGACCACTGGTGGTCCGTGGACCACAGGTTGGGAACCATTGGTGTTTATGAAACATACATTAATTTTGTGGTTAGACATGGGTCTCATCTCCAAGATATCTCTTTATGTATGTAAATGCAGCAACACATATTCCAAACTCTGAAAACCAATTTGAAACCCCAAATCCTTCTGGTCTCAAGTATTTTGGAAAACTTATTATAACATCTCTCTCGCTCACTCTCTTTTGTCCTTACGGAACCTGTCCCTCACATCCCCAATAGATGATACATAAAGAGATAGACAGATAATAAGTAGAGAAATAGATAAGGATGGATAGGTGATAGCTAGACAAGATAATAAGTAGAGAGATAGAGAAGGATGGATAAGTGATAGTTAGAGAAATTGATAGAATGAATGATTTTTGTGGTGGCTTCCCCCTCCTCTTTTTCATCTTTCAGATTTTCCCACAACTTGCATCCAATTATTTCTATATCCCCCGGTTTCATTTCCTGCTGCTTCCCTCATAATTCCTAAAAATTCTGTTTTGTTCCTTTATTTAGCGGCAGTGAACGCCCACCAGAACAGTTACCTCAGCGTCATATTAAAACTCTTCAGTTGTGGTGTGACAGTTCCCTTGTCTTATTAGCATCACTTTGTGAGGGCTTCCTGAAGGAGCTTGCCTAAAATTTGCCAGTGTGCAAATGCAGTGATGACCTGTCATCTCCTGCTCTTCATTGGGGCACTTTCTATCTATAGGGACAGAAGTTAATGACAGAATCTCTCGCTCACTCGCTCTCTCTCTCTTTCCCTCTCCCTCTCCCTCTGCTGCTTGATGTCAGAGCTGAGAAAGATATAAAGGGGGGTATATAAGAGGTTTATTGCTAGCCTACAAGGAAGGTGGAGGCTTAGGATATTTCAGAGCTGGAAGCAAGTGTGTGATCTTTTTTCCCTCCACTATTTCATCTAATACTAACTGCTTCAGTGAATTCTTTAACCACCAAAAGGTAAGTCTTGCAAATGCTTATTCAAAAAGTTTGGGGTGATATGAGGGGAAAAAAACTGTGAATTGCCCCGAGTCTCCTTCGGGGTTGAGAAGGGTGGTATATAAATACCGTAAATAATAAAATAATAAAACAAAAACAAAAACATTAGAATCTCATCATAAGAATTAAACGCAACTGCTCAAAAGAAATGCCCAGATTTTGGAGAGGAGGGAACTATGGCTTTCCCATTTGGCATTAGAACTAAAATTTTGTTGTTTCAACAAGTTTGAACACTTTTGTTTCTCTCTCTTTCTTTCTCTCTCTGGATATTCACTGTTGGTTGCTGCAGATATCTGTACTATTGTCACTCAATATTTAATGGACAATTTATGTTCTAGGCTGAACTCTTTCCTCTTTATGTCTTGTAATTCTTTTCCCCTCCAGTGACTCCCCAAAGATGTGTAGCCTCAAAGGACCCTTCCTTTTCATTATCTTGTCGGTTACGTTCAATTCCCTGGAAGCGACACCCGTGGAGAGGTTAGTAACCATTTCACATAAACTGCTTTTGCAAGAAAGCATCGAATGATTTGTTTTGTATTATTCCCTTCTGCCACGTGGTTGCAAAAGCCATTGACAGGAGCTGACGGGCAGAGAGAGGAAAAGAAGTGTTAATGGGAAGAGCAATTTCTTTCTTTATGTTCTTATTTATAGACTCCTCTCTTTGGCTGATGATCTATCGGATGGGACTCCTGACAGGCAAGAGTGGTTTTTACCCATCCTTTCACGAAGTACTGGCTTCTTGGGAATTAACGGTGCATTGCTGGGAGAGGAAGCGCCAAAGGCCGTAAAAAGGTATAAAATCCCTTCTGATTCTTTTAGATTGAAATGCAAAGGCGGCAGAAAGAGACGACAGGTTGTAATTTGTAGTCAAGGTAGAGATCAAATCCGCTTCCCTTGTAGTGATAATTCAATCATATCTCAAAAGAAGAGCTTCAGTATCAACCTCCCACCAAGGGTTCAAAAGACTGTGCCTCCACTTTCTACTGAATATGGAATCTTTCATACCTATGGTTTACAATAATTTTTCATTGATTGATCACACCTTTTTCAGCCAATAGAAAAACAGAGCAGAGTTTTTAAAAGACCCGTAACTCCCTTTAGAGAGAGGAAAAGCACTGTAGTATTCATACCAATGAGTGAATTTTTAATTTAGTTTGGGAATAAACTTTCTAGTCTTTGTGATATTTTTATAGAAGTGAAGTAAAAAAAATGGAGCTTTAAAAACCTGAATGTATTGCCCATTCTGCTCCAAATCTGGGGTTCTTTTAGATATGTGATACTTCTTCCTTCAAATTAAAATTTCCTGGATATATGAGTAAATAATAAAGCATTCAATAGTCTCTTGACATTAACAGATATAATCTATAAAAAAAGCCTTTTTTTAGTAAGTGAGAGGACTCAGCTCCCTACAAACACAGTTTGTTTGTTTGTTTATTTATTTCAAACATGTATATCCCATCCTTCTCACCCCCCCCCCCCAAGGGGGACTCAGGGCGGCTTACAAGTGGCAATCATTACATGCCAAAGATTAGATGCCATAGTTAGCCTTAATTAACATTCAACTGAACCCAAGACCATTTAAATAAAATTAAAAGAGGAGGAATGTTAAATATGCACATGTAAGTAAAGGTAAAAGTTTTCCATTGATATTAAGTCTAGTCGAGTGCAACTCAGGGGGGGGGTGCTCATCTCCATTTCTAAGCTGAAGAGCCGGCATTGTCCGTAGACACCTCCAAGATCATGTGGCCGCATGGCTGCATGGAGTGCCGTTATGCACATGTACGCATTGGCATATCAAATACTGGGGGGGGGGGGGGGAATCCACAAGAAGTGAGACAGAAAACCTTTCCTGCAAGCTGTTTGCTCCGTGAAAAGTTTTGCTTTGAATGGGCTTTCTCTAATATTCCTTCTTAATCCTATAGAAAAATATGAAACAGTACTTTTCTCCCTTCCTCTCCAAAAACTAGGAAGAAATTGTCTTGTAGAGCATGCTAACAGGCTTGGAATAAGATATATTGCATTTTCTTTGTTCTGTAGATTTTCACTTAGAAACTTTATACACAACTAATGCTTTATATACCTTTCCATGAATTCTGAATGCTTTTGCCCTGTAAAACCCATGAATGCCATGCTTCTTGATGGCATCTAACTTTTTTTAAACGTTTAGGTTAGCTAAATGCCTTTTTAATTTTATTCTGGAAATGACTAAGATTTCAGAGATTGATATATTTCAGAGATTGATATATTTATTTTTTTTAAAAAAAACAAACAAACCATAAATCAGCTTCAAATATATGAAATATACCCATTCATCTATGCAAGATTAGTTCAGAACATCCCAGAAACCTTTGGCTTATTTACTTGTACTACCAATTGAACTGGATCATATCTTAGAACAGTGGCACCCAGCCTTTTTTTTTTTTTGACCAGGGACCACTCTCCAACATTAGTACCAGGAGGTTTATGAATCAGTTTTTGGTCAACTTTAGATTCAGTTTGGTTATTTGGGATGCTGATTCAGAAAGTTGCATTGAATAGACTGCATCAGCCCTAGTTTCTGATACAGAACATATATATTAACATGGAATGGGAAAGAGGACATCATCTTTTCCCCAGGTAGCAAAATGGACTGGATAAATCCCACCCCTGAAGACTGCTAAACTCTATAGTGAAGTGGTTCCCAACCTTTAGTCCTCCAGATGTTTTGGACTTCAGCTCCCACAGTTCCTAACATCTGGTAAGATGGCTGGGATTGCTTAGGAGTTGAAGTCCAAAAGACCTGGAGCACCAAAGGATGGATCAGCACTAGCAGCTTTGTATTGGTTTGATATCATCTTTTATACCGCTATCCAGTCTTCATAGGCTGAAAAATCACTCTGAAACCATTTACTTAGGGCAAAAAAAAAAAATTCAGAATTGTTCTGCACACAGGAATGTTTCCCATGATAGCATTTTTTCTTTGAAAAAAGCTGTTGGATATGATCAAGCCCTCTTTATTGCAGAGAAAAAAATAGGAAAGTCGCTCTTTTTGGATTAGAACATCCAGAACCCACAACCACTATAGCAGGGAATTCAGGGAGTTGTAATTTTTAAAATGTGTTTCGAGGCTGTATTATAGACATGTTTTTTTCCTTGTGCCTGGAGGTCACGCAGATAAAAAATAGGTTGATTCAGTCAGCAGCTTTATCTTCATAATGATGACTTTATTTTCCTATCTGTGTCACTACTGCTTTCATGTTGTGTGAGCCTTCAAGTCACTTCCAACTTAAGGCAGCCATAAGGTAAACCTAGTATGGGTTGCGAGTGTGAGAGTTACCCAAAGCCACCTAATGGGACTGCCAAGCTATTCTGGCAATGGTAAACCATTTCTGAACAAATCTTGTCACGGATTGCCATAGGTTGAAAAGGACTTGAAGGCACACACCAACACTAATTTTGGTATTTATTTGTCGTGTCAGAGCAACCAGTCCATTATATTACATTTCTAACAGAAAAAAGCAGGCAAACAGACGAGATACAAAACTTGTGAGTTTGGTAGTTGGTTAAATGTCCTTTGACCAGTATCTGGCCACTTGGAGTGCTTCCGGTGTTGCTGCAAGAAGGTCCTCCATTGTGCATGTGGCAGGGCTCAGTTTGCATTGCAGCAGGTGGTCAGTGGTTTGCTCTTCTCCACACTCGCATGTCGAGGATTCCACTTTTTAGCCCCATTTCTGAAGGTTGGCTCTGCATCTTGTGGTGCCAGAACGCAGTCTGTTCAGTGCCTTCCTGGTCGCCCTGTCCTCTGTGTGCCCAGGAGTGAGTCTCTCATTTGGTATCAGCCATTGGTTGAGGTTCTGGGTTTGAGCCTGCCACTTTTGGACTCTTGCTTGCTGGGGTGTTCCAGCAAATGTCTCTGTAGATCTTAGAAAACTAGTTCTAGATTTAAGTCATTGACGTGCTGGCTGATACCCAAACAGGGGATGAGCTGGAGAGGAACAAATGATAGCTAACGCATTACAGCACAGAACATTGGACTGGAGAAAGTACGGGGGAACAATTGCCCCTGAATAGAATGCTACTCTTTCAGGATTTGCTGACAGAAGCAAGTGAATGATTGTCATACTAACCTTTCTCATGATATCAGCAAGTTCCCTAAATAGTCTTTAAAAGTTCACCTGAAAACTAAACACTGTGTCATTGTTTCCATTTAGTGACTTAACTATACTGTAATTATCTTTTTTCTGGAGGTGACAGGAAGGTGCTACTGTGAATAATCACCCTGTGATCTTCCGTGTATCACCTATTTGCATGGTGATACGAATCCCTTTACAGTGTCTCTTCAAAGACTTAATCACCAAAGTCCATGGATTTGCCACACATCGTGGTAAAACCATTGAGTGCTGGCGGAGGGCATTGAGAGCCCATTGCTCCACAAGCTGCATTGTCTGTCTCACCTTGACTCCCATCCCATGGGGGAAAGCATCACCGTCCTGCTTACCCCCATTGCGCCTAAGGGAACATGGGAAGCCTCTCCTGTTGCCGCTGTGGTGGTACATACCATTTGCTCTCCTCTTTCAGCATGGAGCCTGGCCAGAAATGTTTGTGTGCCGTATAATGGGCTCCATGTCACAAGTGGAGAGAAAGTGGTGTACAATAGGCAAATCATCGTGTCCGATGAGATTACAAGAGTTTCAAATCCACGTTTCTTTGACAAACAAACAAAAAGCAGGTGTTTTTGCTATGTCCTTTCAAGCCGTTTCTAATTTACTGCAATCCTAACATGGGGTTTTGTTCAGATGAGGTTTGCCTTTGCTTTCTTCTGTGGGTGAGAGATTGTGACTTGCCCAATGGGTTTCTAACTTTGACAGAATTCTACTCAGATCTTGGGATTTTTCCATACTTATTATCATGTTGTTTCAATGAGTCTTTTGGAAAATGCTCCAATGGCTGATGTCACTTCTTCATTGACTCATTTTAGTCTTTTGAGGAGCTGTATTTAGAGTTGTCTCCAATCTAAAGTAAGGCTCTTCCAAAAAAAAAAAAAGCTTTTTAAAAAACTAGAGTTTGGTTTGACAAGGCAATCCTATGGTTTGAGTGGCACTCTTTATAGTATTACAATACGAAAGCATCATTTAAAAAATGCACTGATAAACTACACCACTGTTTAAAAATGTAAAGACAAGGGAAAGAAAGATATGTCTCTTCCAATATATCTTAAAGTAGAAGGAAACCCACTCAAAGATGGGTAAAATCCCAGACTCGGTGCCAGGAACTGTCAGGAAATAGTCCCAGAAAAAAGAAAAGCCATTGGGATATTGTGAAAGCCTCTAAGAATACAGAAACATCTTCACATATTTGCAGGGGCGGCTCAACCCATTATGCAAAGTAAGCATTTGCAGTATAGTTGATTTTGCCCAGGGGCGCTCTTGAGGCGCTCTGGGGGGAAAATAGACCTTGACATATGCGAGTTGTAGTTACTGGGATGTATAGTTCACCTATAATCAAAGAGCATTCTGAACTCCACCAATGATGGAATTGAACCAAATATGCCACACAGAACTCCCACGACGAACAGAAAATATATATCAATGATTGGTTGGGGAGGGGGCGCCAAAATACCGTTTGCTTACCATTGAAAATTACCTAGGGCCGCCTCTGCATATTTGGTCCAAGGGTTTTTTGTTTGTTTGCCACATTTATACTCACTCAGCAGCAGAAATAGTTCCCACAGCTCTAAATCCCATCTAGAAGTGACCTGTTGAATCAATGACCACCTGCTACAATGCAACCTGAGCCCTGCCACATGCGCAATGGAGGACCTTCTTGCAGCAACACCAAAAGCACTCCAAGTGGCCAGATACTAGTCAAAGGACATTTAATCAACTACCAAACTAACAAATTTTGTATTTTGTCTGTTTGTTTGTTTGTTTGTTTGCTTTGTTCTGTTAGAAATGTAATATAATTGACTGGTTGCCCTGACACGACAAATAAAATAAAAAATAAATAGGTTGTTTTACATGTGTTGATTTACAATTTCATAATTTATTTTATTTATTTATCATGTCAGGACTGAACCAAACAATTGTATTGTGGGTTTTTTTTAAGCCCACAAAGGGCTCAGGTTGCATTGTAGTAGGTGGTCTGAGGTTTGCTCTTCTCCACGCTCACATGTCGTGGATTCCACTTTGTAGCCTCATTTCTTACGGTTGGCTCTGCATCTTGTGGTGCCAGAGCACAGTCCGTTCAGCACCTTCCAAGTTGCCCAGTTTTCTGTGTGCCCAGGAGGGAGTCTCTCATTTGGTATCAGCCATTGATTGAGGTTCTGGCTTTGAACCTGCCACTTTTGGACCCTCGCTTGCTGAGGTGTTTCAGCGAGTGTCTCTGTAGATTTTAGAAAACTATTTATTGATTTAGGTTGTTGGCATGCTGGCTGATATCCAAACAGGGGATGAACCAGAGATGTCACTGCCTTGGAAGTGATTTTATAATTGATTCAGAGTTGTCAGAGCCACTCACAGATATAAGCAAACATTCTACCAGCATGCAGTGAAGTACATTGACTTAAATAGCATCCCAAAGCAAACAACAGCAAATGCAGGGGGTAATTTTGAATGCACACTGCAAGGTTTTCACAGGATTGTCATTGTTGTTTTCCAGCCACCGCTTGGAGAAACGAAGGTGTAATACTGCCACATGTGTGACACAACGTTTGGCTGACTTCTTGGTTCGGTCCAGCAACACCATCGGTGCTATCTATTCTCCAACCAATGTAGGATCCAACACCTATGGCAAGAGAGACAAAGAACCTCCCAGCTATCTACAGCTTTAATGTTCCATCAAGACCTCAATGGCTGCAATCCACACTGGGAATTCGTGCTCCTTCCCTTCCCTCTTTACCACCCTAATGTATAAAGTTCTGGTCTCCACACAGTTTCTCTTTCTTTTAGTGAGACTGCCACTTCGAGAAATCATTTGAGGAGTTGGCTTCTCACCCAACCTTTCAGTTATTGCTTACTGTTCATTCTTAACAGTGCCTTGTTTTCTTTGTGTGTATTTTATGTATGTGACTTCCATTGGGTTTGTCATGCTGCTCTATGTGAACGATGGCACGCAGAGGTGCTCCCAAGTGGTAAGGCTCCTATAGCCAATGTGCTTATGAAATTTTCCCTGTTCAAGAGAAAATAAACCTCACATACCCATGCCACAAGAATATGAAATGTAAAAGCGCCCTTTGTGTTTTGGGTTTTCCTTTTTTATTAAAAAAAAATTAAAACTGAAAAAGACAACATGTGAAATGTACATCTTTGTATGGCAGCACTTTTCTGCCACTGAAACCTGCCCTAAATTGATATGCTCAAAATAAACTCAGTAAAATCTGCCCATATCTTTATATGCTCACAAGAAAACCTCAGTCTTTCAATGTGGAATTTTATAGCACCACAATGGTACTAACTATACTCAGAAACTAGATGGTCCAAAGCAGTGGTTCTCTATCTGTAGGTCCCCAGATTTTTGGTCTTCAATTCCCAGAAATCCTAACAGCTGGTAAACTGGTTGAGATTTCTGGGAGTTGTAGGCCAAAACACCTGGGGACCCACAGGTTGAGAACCACTGGTCCAAAGGGACATTTTCAATGGATGATGGAAGGTAGCTGTTGATTATTTGTATCTTGTTTAGAAGCTGGCTTTTCTCTACTTAAGCCTTTCCCAAACCAAAAAAGCCAGATGGTGTGAAGAAAAGCAAGATGATGGGTAGAGTAGCTGGTTATTGTCTCAGTCGGGAATCTCCCTTTGTTCTGATCTTCCTAACCTGGAGAAGCAAAACTGGTTCTTCAACTGACCCATCAGTTGACTTTTGTTCTAGCCAGGCTTTCTCTGACTTAAAAAAGTTTTGGTGGAGCAAATCTGGTGGCCCAACCTTTCAGCTATGGAGTCAGTTCTTTCTCTGTCTGGGTCTCTTCTGACCAGGAATTGCTCAGGGGGTGAGGATCTGGTCTTTTCCCTGCAACACCGTGGCAAACTTTAGAGACTAGAACACTGAGCAACAGATGCAAATTGCAGGAAAGGAAGTTCCACATAAACAATAGGAAAGTACATCTTGAAGGTAAGAATTGTTCAACAGTGGAATATGCCGCCTCAGAGTCTGATGGAGTCCCCTTCTCCTGCAGTTTTTAAATAGATACTGGATGGCCATTTGTCAGGGTACTTTCTACGCCATCCGATGAAGGCAGTATTGGCAGCATGCACTAGTTCACCTTCTCCTTGATGATGGATTCTGCCAGGTCCCTTTACACAATACACTGCAACTTCCAGCAGGGCTATCTTAAAGGAGTAGGTGAACTGGTGCATGTCACCATGGAGGCAATACAGGGAGCTTTCTGTGTTTCCTTAGATGAGTGGGGGGTGGAGGATGCTTCTCCCCATGGGATGGTGAGTAGGACAATATGGGTTATGGGGCAATGGGTTCCCCATGCCCCCGGATGGTCACCACCAGAATCACCACCATCCATGGTGATTCCTATGGCATGCGTGAAGAGGTCATTTGTGCGCTTCTGTATGGTGGTGGGTTGGACTTGATGGCCGTTGTGGTTTCTTCCAGTTCAATGATTCTATAAGAAGAGGACTAAAAGGCAGAGTCAGCTAAAGCAAAATCAAACCGTTGCAGCCTCTCCTCGCATATGTGTTCTTGCATGTTAACATCTTGACTGTGATCTCATGTTACTGACCACACATGTCCCGGTTTTAATTTGTGAAATCTTGGACAGTATGAAACTGAACTTGCTGAGAGAATTACTCCTGTGCAGAACTTCTAAAATGTATTGTTCTTTTTATTCACTGACATCAAACCACTATGTCATATATATGATAGGACAATTAACAGGCATTAAGGGGGAAACTATCTTCATCGTGTTGCAAAATCCACATCTGATCTCCTGCCTTAAAATTAGTTGTAAATGCACAAAGTATATATGTTATGATCAAAGAAGCAGGTGGGTCATTTTCCCTTAGAGGATAGAAAAGGTGACATATGTAAAGTACCGCTCCAAAGTTGCTAGTTGCTATGTGAGATGAACAATATAGATCTGATACAGATACTTGGATTTACCACACTATCCTCACATGAATGTACCTGTGCAAAACAGTTCATGGATATGGAGAGCCAGTTGTATGCTTTTTAGCAAATTGCTGAAATATCAAAGATGAGTTAACTTCCTCTCTGCTTGTCGTTTTTCCTTGGCTTTCAGGGTTGAGCTAATTCTTGCTCTCGTTGCTCGATTGCAACTGCCCCCATCCACACCAATGGTTATACTGGCTAGGGCCAATGAAAACTGCATTACAAAAACTGCTGGAGAATTATGAATGGCTCATACTTGCCTTGAGTTTTGTACTGGTCACCATCTTCATATCTGCCTCCATTTTGCTTGCATTCTCCCCCTCCAAACCAATCACATTTTAATATTGTCTCCACCCACACACCCAAACAGCTCGCTGCATATAAAAGGTTAGCATTGTCTGGATAAAAGATTTAGTACCAACTTTATCATCTGCCCATTTTCAATATAGGGGGAGATGTTTTATGTTTGCGGAAGATAACTATCAACTCTACAATCATCCACCTGCAGGAGATACACAGTCAAGAGTTATACCCCTGTGTTCTGTGTATTAGGGTGGAACATATTTGGATTCCAACCCCTGGAAATCCCAGAAACCAAATCTTAAAGGGTTAAGGGAGATGTATCCTGGTGTAGGGCAGCTGTTGTTTGTTGTTTTCCTTCAAGTCATTTCCAACTTATTTCAAGCTTGCTATCAGTCAGGCTTTTCATAAGCAGGGACCACTATGAATTAAAAACCTGGGAATGTCATAAAGAAAGAGGTGGCTACATAAATAGAAAGTGCATTCAAACAGCACCAGAGACCCCAAAATCTAATTTGCTACCTTGAATTGTGACATTTTCTTAAAAGTTAGATTTTGTGCTTACTTGCACTGAATCCTATAGTACAAAGCTGTTCCCATTTGAAAATTACTTGGATGAAGATAAAGTGGATATAATACACAGGAAGCAAAGCAATACATTTTAATGAGAGCTTAGTTTCATTTTGGAGTAAAAGCTATTATCTGGAAATCAGAATAGTTTTTCCTCTTACAGGGAACGAATTGGAGAGGATTTAAACCAAGCTTGCATATTGTTAAAACTATTTGCACAAAAGACCAGCATTCAGAGTCTCATGAAATCAGATATTAGCTTGGGAAAAAGAGTCAGGGTTGAGATCAGGGGAAGGCAACTGTTGGGCCTAATCTGACCTTCAGAAATTCCCCATCTGATCCTTAAAGGTTTTGAGGAAAATCCTACATATCTCCCACATCTACTCACCTATGGTTGTACAGAGGTATTCTTTCCATAATACTATTGGCGCTCCCAACATGGTGTTGGTTTAAGTGACCATGAGTTTATGAATACAAAAGTCTAACATATCTGAGGGCAACAACTTGAGAAGGGCTGATATAAGCCATGACTGTGTTCAGAGGCGGCCCTAGGTAATTTTCAACGGTAAGCAAACAGTATTTTGCCCCCCCCCCCCAACCAATCATTGATATATATTTTCTGTTCGTCATGGGAGTTCTGTGTGCCATATTTGGTTCAATTCCATCATTGGTGGAGTTCAGAATGCTCTTTGATTGTAGGTGAACAATACATCTCAGTAACTACAACTTACATATATGAAAGTCTATTTTCCCCTAAGAGCGCCCCTGGGCAAAATCAACTATATTGCGAATGCTTACTTTGCGTAATGGGTTGAGCCGCCCCTGACTGTGTTCCAGAGCTGATATTCCCATTTATGATACGATGCATCCTTGGTAGCTGTGCAACTACTTTTGAGAGTGTGAAGATAGATTTTGAAGGGGAGAAGCATAGTTAAGATGATCCAACAAAGCTAGAAGCCACCCAGAAGAGGAATGATAAGTTAAACAAATTCAGAAAGATGGATGGGCCCATGTTGTTGTTGTTTTGTAGCAATCCAAACTAAAGATAAGGAAGAAATTAAGTACTTGATTTACTTACAAAAGCTATTACCCACAATGTATTTTTATTCAAGCTTATTTTAAAATTGAAAAATATGGTCATTGGAAAAGAATGTTTGACAGGTGAGGACCCAGGTGTATGGAGTTTATATTAAAAAGCTTATAAAGCTTGGTTTTTGATATTATTGCTATGTATCATCAAGTCAACTTTAGACTGTGGTCACGTTATGAATGAGAGCCAACCAGAAGAACCTATTATTAACAGTCCTTCTTTGTATCTGTTATGTATTGATTATAAATTCCTGAGCTAGCCATCTGGCTCTGATTAGTTGATCTCAAGACTCCAATAAATACAAAGTAGATCCTACCAACCCAACCAAATGTCTGTTCATACCTGCTGGGGAATAATGAACTTTTGAAGGCACTCCACTAAAACGCAGTATCCTCTACAATATTTGAGGTTTGGATAAAAATGAAATTATTTGCTAATTTTCATATTTTTAAAAAACCATGAGCAGTTGTAACAATTATTACCTCAAGGCAAGGAAAAATTTGAAAGCTATGCAATTTGAAAAGACCATTCGCATTTTCATACCTTTTCTGCACAAAATTCGTGTTTTTTGGTAGAAAGAACAGCCAGGCAAAATGCATTCAATAAAGTTGTTTCACATCTATTTTTAAAAAATATATTCAATTTTTTACACTCAAAACAACAACCAAACAGGTTCTTGTAGGTTTTTTCGGGCTATAGGGCCATGTTCTAGAGGCATTTCTCCTGACGTGGTCCTATAGCCCGGAAAAACCTACAAGAACCTAGTGATTCCAGCCATGAAAGCCTTCGACAATACAACAACCAAACAGTTTAGTCAGGGGGTGTAAGGCAAATGATATGACAAGCACAGCTGAGAGAGAAGTAGGGAAAATGGATCTAATGGTAGAGCTATCCCTGGGCTGCCATGAGCAGTAGACTGAGACTCTACATACACCTATCACAATACTTCAGATTAAACTGCTTTGGAGCTGCCCAAGGCCCTTACACACAGTCATATAACACAGAATATTAAGTCAGAAAATCCCACAATATCTGCTTTTAAACGGGGGCCCATACAGACAGCACCCTTATTGCGGGAACCCCCGCAATAAAGGAGGGGCTGTCCAGACAACATTCTGGACAGTCCTGAATTACAAACCCTGGTTTGTAGCGAATTAATTAGATAGGGATTTATTCCAAGCCTTCTTGGAAGGTATGGGATAAACCCACTAC